CAGGTTTAAGAGACATGATTTAGGATCTTGTTTTCTTTGGTCTGGAACAAGTTTTTTCTGGTTACCACAAAACTGAGATTTTAAAATATCCACAGTGTGTCCTCTCTCTCACCCCCCCCCCTCTCTCCCTCCCTCTCTCTCTCCCTCCCTCTCTCTCACAGAGGTACAGGAGACACGGTCTATTTCTGGAGTAAATACATGCCTGACTCATGCTGACTGGATCAAATATATAACAGCCATGTCTGGTGAGTTACATCACGACTAATGTCTGCAGCAGGTACACACTACTTCTTAGTGTGTGTGTGTGTGTGTGTGACACCAGAGCAGGGGTAAATTAAAAAAATAAATATTTCTCTGACATATTTCAGTGACACTTATCTGAACACGTTTCTTTTATTAAAGATCTCGTTTATTTTCAATCCACTTCCTGACGAGGTTTTCATCACAGACAAATTAAGATTAAAACATAAATGTAATCAATGTTTGCTGCAGTAGCTCCAACTGCAACAACTGCAGTTCAAGGCCACGTGTGAAAGTCTGGTTGAAAAAACACTGTAAACAGTCAATTCTCTACATGAATGTCAAAGTAAAAATGGACACAAAACCAACCATCTACAGCACGATGACTAGGACGGTACCCAAACCATAGTTTGAGAACCACTGATCTAGTGTTTAGTGATGCATTTATCTGTATAAATATAAAAAACATTAACGAGGAGCAACACAAGTAAAGAAAAGACAGTGACACTTTTACGTCACCAGTTTGCGATTTTTCACAAAAAAGGCTGTTATTGTGTTATGTAAGAAAGATGGCAGTCAGCCACTTCCGGTTTAGACAGAAGAGAATAGAGAATCTAATCAACTTATGATACTGTGTAGTACATGTCGTCATACTGGTCACCACTGACCGGAGAGACTGCGACTTCTAACTTGACCCAGTATTTATTAAACTGTTTATACAATTATAAGTCAAACATTACATTATAGGTGATCAAAACAGACGTGTTTTAGTTGTGCTGTTGTGTTACTTACTGTTACTTAAAGCAGCCAGAGAGAGCGACTCATTATTGTTGTTGATAGTGAAGCTACTCTGTTAGCCACATTAGCGGTCAGTGACGTAGACTCACCACTCAGGACGGAGCCACAGTCCGAGTCCGCACCATCAGCAGTATCTTTTAAAACACTCCCAGTTCAACCTTTAATGAATTAAACTACTATTAACTCGAATTAACTGCTGTCTGTTAATACAGTTCAGCTAACAACCGCTCATGGCGTCTTCTTCTTTGTAATCTTGTCTGATTCTCAAATAGAACTAGCGCCCCTAGCGGATTTTTCAAAAACGCTTGTTTTAAACATACGCATGATCCTATTTAGAAGTTAAGTTAGTAATCATCCTTTTTTGACTTTCTTTAAAGATATTTCTGGTCAAGATTTGTGTTTTCTTTATCCAAACAACTCTTTTAGGCTAATTGTTTTAAAACTTCAAAACTGTGATTTATTCTATGGCCAAATATAGCAACCTCTGCTAACAGATACCTACTATTGCCACAACTTACGTTTTATTATTTGATAATGTGTTTTGTTTTAAGTTACTATGAATATGTAACCATTAAAAAGGTTAGTTCTGTTTGACTAGAGTCTGATGGAATCAACAACAAAAAGTTCAAATACAATTTATGTCCCATAAAGTTTATGAAAGTGATACAAACCACGTGCAAAAATGGTTTAAGGTTCATTTTAAATAGACCAGGACTAGTTAGTCTCAAAATGACACATAAACCAGCGTCATCTCTGAACACGTCCGTGTCCCGTCAGTGTTAAGACAAAGAAGCCGTTGTTATTCTCTGAACATAACCTTTAATTTCAATGAGGAAAAAAAAAATCTGAGCATCGAGAGCAAACAAAACCCAAACTTTATGAAATAAAAGGATGTTTCAAAATCCATTCAAATCAAATGCAGACTGTGGATGAATGACTGAGGCCAAAGAAACAGAAGATTGTTTTCATCTCCCAAACCAACGTGTTGAACCAAGAATAAACTGGTTTAGTAGAGAACAGTAATAACACGTTAGTCCCCATGAACCAAAGGGTTTTCACTGTTTACTTTAGTTCAGGTGAGTGGCCGTATTATTACTATGAACCAACCTCCCATCATTTGGTTCCTGCACGTCTCCACACTTGTTTCACCGCAGCTCAGTCAGTTCAACTCTGTTATTCATCTAGTATTTGGACTTTTCACTCCTCAATTTGTCAGACACACAATTTTAATTAGAATTCAGATCTTTTTGTTGCATCAAGAACCAACAACCAGTGTGAACACAGCCTTGAACAGAGACAGAGGAAAAATATGAATCCCAGATTTAGGTTCAATACAAAAGAAATGAGTTTGTTCATCCAATTTCACCCACTCAAAATCTATACAAACGTATTGTACAGTATAACAAGTTAGATTACACGTCAGCTTCTTCTTTTGTACAAGTCCGTCTTAGGTTTTAAGGTCTGTACAACTTAGTTACAAAAAATACATGCCTTTTTAATCTTTGCACCAACAAAAAAAAGTTTAATTTAAAGTAAATGAATAGATTTGACAACCAGATCCAACCGCGTGACGTCGTTCCATCATCTGAGGCAGAGATGCCAGCTTCAATCTGCCAAGACTCTAAGCTACACTCGGACTCATCCGACAGTTTGGTTACAGTTCCTGCAGCAGGAAAAGAGTTCTGATTGAGGAATACTGAAAAGTGAAAGACTGTGTAGTGTGTGCTGCAGCAGATGCTCAGTGACGCCTCATTTTGACTTTGCGTCCTGAACTCTCTCTGTGTTTTTCGTACTCCTGACTGCGTTTCCAGTAGTTCTCGGAGCTGCTGCTGTGACGACGACGTCGGGACAGCGACGGATGTCTGTTCTCCTCTTTGTCCATCTCCAGGACCCTCGGCCTGGAGGAGAGTCAAAAGTGAGGTCATCATCACATCTACAGAAACATCTGTGATTGTTAAACCATTTCCTCTACATGTGACGTGTCCATCAACACCATCAACCAACCACCTGCTCCAACCGACACCAGGGTCTGCACTCAGACGTCCAGGTCCACTTTGGTCCGGCTGCTGTGACATATCTGCAGCACCAGTGGCCTGTAAAACCCCATTCATTCTGACCAAAACCCAGTCACTCTCTCCATCTTTGCCTCCTCCACAGGGGATCACTCTGAATCATCTGTGGTTGTTATTTCCAGGAGAAAGCGACCGTGACGTTCTACCAGTGAGTATTTCTTTTTACCAATATCAGAATATCTGCTGCATTTCTAGGTGTCATTGGTGTAAAGTCATGGTCTGTGGCTGTGTTTACCGATGTGCAGCATCAGGGTCAGCTCTGCGGTGAGAGCGTTTGGCTTTTAGAACAGGGCGTCTCTCTACAGGAGACGACCTCAGAGGACTGTCAGAGTCCAGACGAGGAGCATCAGGTCTGGTCCTGAGGAAGACAGACAGAGATTAAGACTCAGCACAATATGTTTGGGGGTGTACGGCTCTATAGGAGGTACGGGGTCATTTCTATGAAACAGTAATGATGACAGACACCTGATGTCACTGTGTCTGTGTTTATGTCTGTAACACATGTAACATTCACCTCCTGTACAGAAAATAACTCACTTTCGGAGGATGATGACTGCACGCCGCTGCTTAATGTCCTGGGGCCGGATGCAATGAGTGATGTCATCGGCAGCGTAACCACTGGAAAAGACACAAAAAGAGTTTTTAGTCTGGTCGACCTACTCTACGTAGAGCCCTGTCACCATGGCCGTGAGGCCGGAGCGTCACCTGAGGACGGTGACACTGCCTCTCCTCACTGGCAGGACAAACACCGGCTCAGACACACGGATGGGCTTGAACTGGAAGCGGCAGCCGAAGCACAGGGCGCTGTCACTGAAGAAGGACACGGAGACGATGGGTCGAGCAAAGATGTGCAGAGGATCCACGTGTGACACGATGCAGCCTCCGGGCTGGTAGTCATTGATGACAGCACTGTTGACAAAGCCTTCTGGGATCACGCCTTCAGACACCAGCCTCTTGATGACCAACTCGTCCACCCAGCCTGGGATCTCATCCACCTCTCCCTTGCGGTAGAGTCTCTCCTGTCCTGGGCCACGTTTCTCCAGCTGTGACCCGTACGTGTAGCCTTCCCCGAAGAAGTACTTGTTCCGCAGCGGCGCCCTGTCCACCGTGTGCTCCCGGTAAAGCCCGGCCTCCGCCTTGGCCACCACTTCGTCGATCTTCTCCTCGATCAGGGCACAGTCCTCCGCCGTGAAGAGACCTTTCTGCAGGATGCTGCTCTCCACTCGGCGGGCCTCCTGCTCCCGGAGCTCCGTGCTGTCATCGCTGTGTTCGCACTCGTCTCCGTCGGACTCACGATTCTTTCGTTTTCTACTTTTCTCGCTGCCGTTGCTCGTTTCGTGCGCGTGTTTGTTCTTGTACTCGTCCCTGTGTGGAGTCATTGATTTGAGCTTTTCCCTCAGGTCAGAGTATCCACTGGCTGCCATGTCAGCCGGAACTGAAGAGACAGGTTTATGGTTCCAAGTGTTCCCGGAGCGGACCGACAGAGCACGGATCAGGGCTGCATTTTAACAGCCGCTTAACGGACCGGTTAATGCGAACGGACACCGAGGAACGATGATGGACACAGGTCGTTCAGGAGGCCATAAGCTCGGCTTCACCACAGTATCAGAGGATATAAACAGACGAACGGAGACAATTTGATCTAAAACCCGACAATTGGCTATTTGAATAATTCGAGTTAATGTATTGAAACAAAATGACAATAACGGCAGGATTTACTTAACGCTGTGGTGACGCGACAACGATGAGGCTAACGGAAACTAGCCCTGGTGCTAGTTAGCCACGCTAGCCAGGTTGGGGCTTTTTGTCGCCGCCTGGAATAAACCATAAAGTCTGCAGCAACATTTCTGATGTTTCAGCCAAACTCAGGAACCTCAAAGCGACGCAGATGTTTCTGTTTGACTGCGAAACGTCCCTCAAAAGCACGTTATCGCTCGCAGTAATTGTCAGGCTACTTCGTTTACACCATCACTGGTCGTCACTAAAATAAACTCGTGTAACCTGCCAAAAGTCTGCGCAAGCGCAGATGTGATCTACCATTTGGGGCGTGGCCAAGAATGTCCTGGAGGACACGGACTCCTATTTTGGTGGTCTTGTGAGGACATCTGTGTTGAGCTAAATTTGTCACATTTATATCACGTTTATGTCGTAAATGTTTACGTCTGTTTTTGTGGAGTTTGTTAAACTAGTGACGTGGAGCCGGTGAGTGTCGTCACCAGTAATGACGTGGTCAGAGAACAGACACCGGTTCACAGTCGATCATTTTTCTTCTTTTTCTAGTTTTTACAACATCGATGCATTCGATCAGAAAAAACAAACAGTTTAAAGATCGTCACCAGGTCCTTAACTAACACTTAACTTGACTTAAAGTCACATTGATGCTTTTATACAGAAAGTCAAACACAGGCGCCCCCAGTGGAGAAGATGAGTGACTGCAGCAGAGAGCACATTTGTTTAAAATGTTCTTTAATAAAAATATAGTTAAACCATAAACATGAACATTGGACGATGTTACACAAGTCACACTCTTCAAGTCAAAAGAAGTGATATAAAAAGTAAAAAAAAAGAATATAAAACAAATGATTTACAAAGGCACAGACTTTAATAACAAAATACCCATTAACTTTTTATATAAAAAATATATATAAGTTAGTGTAATAATTCATCCTTAAAAAACTGTCAGAACTGAACTTGTTCCACTCTTTTAAATATTGTGGACCTAAAATAAATAATTTGCATTAGTGAGAGTTTCACACAATAAACACCTGGAGGTAAAGAGAGGTAGTGTTTTCAACAGGTCAGTGTCAAAGGTCAACAGTTATAACATGGTGATTTCACTGGGTGGTAGAGTCAGTCTCTTCTCACGCACCAGCATCATGTTCTCCACCTGCATGGCAATAACACGGCACAGCTCCAGACCCTGGGAACAGACAGCGACATCAGTCACCGAGTCACCGCACACACTCACACACACACATCTGTGTGTGTGTGAGTGTGTGTGTGTGTGTGTGTGTGTTGTTCTGGGGGTACCACCTGCTCCAGCTGTAACTGAATGACCCGTTGTGTGTTCATGTCGCCCAAGGTGAGATCTACGTATGGGTAACTGGTCCCAGCGTTGGGCCTCTGGGTGCGGCTGGACTGAACCTCCGAGAGGGGAACCACCACCATCACCTCCTGCAGCAGCATCAGCAGCAGCATCATCAGCAGCATCATCATCATCATCAGCAGCAGTAACAGCATCATCATCAGCAGCATCAGCAGCAGCATCAGCAGCAGCATCAGCAGCAGCATCAGCAGCAGCATCAGCAGCAGCATCAGCAGCAGCATCAGCAGCAGCATCAGCAGCAGCATCAGCAGCAGCATCAGCAGCAGTAACAGCACCGCCAGCATCAGCAGCCGCAGCATCAGCAGCAGCATCATCAGCAGCAGCAGTAACAGTGAGTAAACACAAACACAAACCTCTGGCCTCAGTGTTTCTCCACTAATGACTGTTTGAGTTTCAGTGTTGATCGTGTGTACGGCGTGTGCGTGTCTCCTTACGTGTGTGTTTTTGTGCAGGAAGTGAAGGCCGTGCTGATTGACAGCGATGATACAGGGAGCGTAGAAGGTGGTGGAGCTGCTGCTGTGGATGTAGAAGAAGGAGGAGCCAAACATGGGGAAGGCACTGACCAGACCTGCAGGTAACGGATCAAACTGACATTCACTGCACAGGAATATTGGTGATATAAATTCACACGTTCTTATTTACGAATAATTACTATTGTTTTTAAACCCAAAAGCAAAAAGAAAGAGCTCATAATAATTTGTGGTTGGCAGCAGTAATTCAGGGTAACTAACTGACTGACGGGTTAGTTGAGTCTAGTTAACTCAGCACCAGGTTCCCCTCAGAACTCTGTCTGAATCTCCTGCTGTGACAGTGTTACTAAAGATATCTAGAACTTTCCTGCAGAGGAAATGCAGCTCTTACCCAGGAACTGGGCCCTGGCCTGGTGTGGATTCAGGGTCTGGACTTGTTGCATGTGCTGCGTTACCATGGTAACCCACTGCTGTGGAGCCTGCTTCTTGAACAGCGGCGTGGCGATGTACTCTGATAATTCATGTCTGGAGCGGAGGGAGAGAGAGTGTTGTCAGAGAAACAGTCGCTCAGTGGGTTCTGAACTGAGCGGTTCTGTGTGTGTGGGTCGGACTGAGCTGAACCACAAACAACGACGTAGTTTCAAAGGTTAGAAAAGTGGAAAAAAACGTCTTTGTCAGATCAAAAACATGAGAAATATTTTAATGATTAAAGTTATGGATGAACTGGCTGTGTGTGTGTGTGTGTGTGTGTGTGCGTGGAGCAGCAGCAGCAGCCTGGCTGCCTGGTTCTGTTCTGGTTCTTACATGCTGGGGATGAAGACGTTGTCCTTGGCTCGGTGCTGCAGAGCAGCCAGTTTGGAGATCTGGTGGAACTGTTGTTCACTCACTTTTCCATGAGGCAGAACATTGAGGAGACCTTTACGGTAGTCAGGCAGGATCTACAAACACAAGTTTGTTAACACACACACACACACACACACACACACACACGTGGTTAGAAAGGCTGCCGTACCTGGTTATAATGCATTGCGACGCAAAGTTCGTTGTCAAACTTGAGCGTCTGCGTCCAGACGACACGTCTGCACCAAAAACTGTAGTTGGTGTCGACCAGCTCTGCCTCGGTCGCCACGTCCAGGATGTACTCCTGTTTGTTAAGAGGCTGCACGTTCTGACCTGACACACACACACACACACACACACACCAGAGGGGGTTGAAACAGTTTGTTTGTAAAATGAATTGACTTGAAAAACAACAACAGTCCGACGTCAGTCGTCAGACCTAAAACCCCGACCGACCAACGAGGCTGAAGACCAAACAGTCAGACTGATATTTGAGGACGTGCTGTGGGAGCAGCTGTTAGCTGTTAGCTGTTAGCATGTGGACGTGTTTGATGCTAAAGGAGGACAAAGCAGAAGGACGTTCACTGGCTGACGCCTTCAAGGACCAACGTTTCTGCAGGAACTTCCAGCTCTACGACTTCAACAAAGGAAACTGGAGTAAACTCAGCTTATTATAGACCAGTGGGACGGGGTCAGCTGGGGGTCAGCTGGGGGTCAGCTGGGGGTCGACCAGGGTTTATATGTTAACATTTGAACCCTAACCCATTGGCTGATTCCACATTTGCCGTCACAGCAGTTCTGTTTTCTGTTTTTTAACGGAGCTAAAAGTCGATCCATTTTTGTTTCAATGCTGTTTTATTTGTTTGAAAAATCAAACAAATAATTGTGTTGTTTTTTTTTTCTTTAATTCACCGTTGATCAGAGCTGAACGACTGCTGCGTCGGCAGTTTCCTCCTCCAACTTCAACCATTTCATTAAAAATAACCCAGAATCAATCAAAGATAATGAATAGGTCAACACAGTGTGACCACTCTGTGACCACTGAGTTCTGGTTTGGATCTGGACCAATAACAACCTGACTCTCCTGGAGTTTCTCCATGACGACCAGACACACACTCAGAGAAGAGTGACCAGAAACCAGAGATGATGTGATCTGGGAGTGGATCTGCTTCACTGGCCACGGAGGAGAGATCAGGTGTGTGTGTGTGTGTGTGTGTGTGCGCTGACCTCTGTTGGTGACCACAAATATGGCGTACTCCTCTATGGCTTCTAGTCGATGTAGACCCATCTCGTAGCACAGCTCCTCGATCACCTCCAGGGCGACCTGGAGAAGACACGTTAGCATCCATGTTTAAAACCATCCAGCCAATCACAGACCGTCACAGACTGTAACTGAACACCTACAGAACATGTTTTGATCTTCACGTGGCGTTCGATTCCTCCGGGAAAGAGAACGAGTTGACGCTTTGAGCTCCGTCCCGCCTGATGAGGAACAAGTACAAAGTCATTCATTTACAAAGCGTCAAGACTGTCCACACGACTGACAACTAGGCTACGTCACGTCTTTGTCCATGAGATTAAAACAGAACTTTCAGGACCCCATTACAGCACCTACAGGGACCCTGCAGGGGCTGCCAACCCCAGTCTGAGACCCCACACTGTGATGAACAGCAACGTGTAACACCAGTGGGCTTTTATTTTGAAAGCGTGTCAACAGCACCAGGGCACTGACCATCATAGCCTTCAGCTCCATGCTGTTGGGTGGGATGATGCGGCCGCCATGTTGGAAAGTCTTCTTCAGGTTCAGCTCACAGGCCTTGGCTATGCCTGACACGTTCAGAGGGGTTAGTTACAGCAGCTGGTCTGGACCAGTCTCACCCTGGTACTCACCCTGGTACTCACCCTGGTACTCACCCTGGTACTGTGCTCCTGCGCTGCGAGAGGCCTGCTGCAGGAACTTCAGGAGGAACGGCTTCAGGACCTCAGAGCAGCGGTGGAAGGCAGTGAGGATGTAGAGCAGCCGCCAGCCTCTCTGGCAGCTGTCGCTGTGGGACAGAGACAGACAGAG